AATTAGAATGCAATAATTGAAAGCCATGATGGGATTTTATATAGATATAAATTTAGCAGCGATATATAAGTCCTCCAGTTCTTAATGTAGAACGTAATTAATTTATTTGAATAGATTAAAAATGTTAGCTGAATTGGTTAATATGATATGCTTTTTCAAAATACCCAAGTCATCTTTCTAAATTCTCTCTCTCTCTCTCTGTTACTTAATTATTATTCAGAGAATATTAATAAAGTTAATTTGAAAAAAAATTGATAAGTATGTGAAATAAATCTTCCACATAGAATTATTGTCAATTTTTCAATTGGATCCTATATTTAAGAAAAGAGGAGTATTATTTAACACACTAGCACAATTGGGATCCATAAGAAAAGAAGACTAAGAATTTGAAAAAAGGACTTTTTTAAAAATTTTAGTCAACATATCAAATCTAATTAATATTATTCCGTAGAAGTGGCCATAAATTTATGTTATAAGTATAATGTGCAATTTGATGGGTGTGCAGAGGGAACGTGTGGAATCAGCTTCAATGTCTTGATTTCTTTATTTGTTTTTCTCCGTATGGAAAATTGGAAACGCAAGTCCTGCTCAATTTCCGGTGAGAATTTAATGCGCTAATGAAGCTGTTCCCACGGTTCACGGCTCACAATTATTTGTTATTCCATCCAGTCTTTAATATCATAACTATTTAATTATTTAAATAAATTAAAAAAGCCTAAATAAATCAATCAATCATAATACATGTCACATGATTTTTCTGAAAATATCTGGGACATACCATTTGATTATATAACAATTTATAAATTAGGTAATTAGTTTGTGAAAAATTAATGATAAATATGAGAGATGAAATAAATTTTTAACTTTGTATTTATGATTAAATACAACTCCCAAATTAATTCTCATATTAAAGATCCGAGGTAATTAGTAATACAATTTTCCTTTTCATTTCAAAACAGTGTGTGGGATATTATTACCTCTTATTCTTATTTCTTCAATATTAAAAAAATTAGTTAAATTGTTTATTTGTAATGGATATGTGTTAGTTTTTCTAAACTATTATTTTTAATTATATGTATTAAAATTACCTTTTAGTAAAAATTATAGCCTTATATTTAAAATTAAATCTTAGTTTTTATATTAAGAATAGTGGGTAGTTGTAAGTTTTTCTGCAGTCAAATTCACACGCATAATATGAACTGGAAATATGAACAAAAGAAAAAGTAATGGATGCAGAGATTAGTCAGAAATGAAAAGGAGCCGTAGTTTACGGAGCACGCTGACGAAATGGTTGACTTTGACTCCCTAATTTCTTGCATAAAATATCTCAAACTTGAATTCATATAAATACAAGAGATTAGGAAAGTTACTCTCTGCTTGAAATATAATGTAATTTAAATTTATATTAATAGGAGTTTTATATATTTTTTATATCGTATTGCATGGTTTGTTTGTAGGGGAAAAATTAAGAAGGAAAATTATAAATGTGACGTCATAACATTTGTCATAAAATAATTTAGCAACTTGGTCATTTATATTTAGTGAAGCACAAAATTCCTAAGGAAGTCAATGATTTGTAATAGATGCCCCTACCTACAATTTATGTACTATATATGAAACTGTAACATAATTGCCCAGGAGAATACGCGTCCATACAGTAGCTGTAGTGTCCCCTAACTTCTCTTCCCTATATATATATATATATATATATATATATATATATATATATATATATATCATTAAATTAAATGTCACCTTCTATTTTAAGAAGATAAAGAGCAAGAAAACAAATAAAGGAAAATATCAACAACACACAAAATGTCTTAATGCAAACATTTACCCCCCAAAAATAGAATATATACATATATATAAACCAACAAAGGAAATATGGCTACAAAAGAGAAACCACATACTCCTCTAGTCTTATAAATAAGGCACTTCCAGCATGTTTCACACAGACTAAGAAAAACTTTAAACTTTATTAACTCTAATTTAAAATTTAATAACTTTTCAACTTTATCCCTATTTAATATACATTATACCTTATGTAAATAAAATCAACATAATAATAAATGAGGGGTAAAATTGTACATTCACACAAAAATTTCTCTCAGTGCCCTATAAATAGGATCAAAAAAAGTCTCCTCTCTCTGCTTTATAAATAGGATTAGAAGAGTAAATGTGTGGAGTTATGGTGCCATTGTTGTCTGCAGTATTATGCACATGTAGTATTTTAAAGGTGGCCGCCCACAACTAAGGCGCATCTGGTGTAGTGGTATCATAGTACCCTCCCACGGTACTGACCGGGGTTCGATTCCCCGGATGCGCATTATCCTCAACTTTTAACTTTTTTGATTTCATCTTTAACTTTTTTTTTTTTTTAAAAAAACAATTGGAAAAAAAAAGGACTCGGATATCATTAGCGTGCATGGAAGCAAATTAAAGGACAACAATAATGGCAAAACATAGAAAACAATGAAATGTTAACTTTGTGTTACTCCACAGATGGAGGGAGGTGAAAAGTTATATCATTATTATACACAAGACCAACCACAGACAGTTTCATGATGCATGGAACATAAGACTAAGAGGCTAGGTTTTCCCATTTCAACCTACCAATTAATCATTGGCTGGCTGCAACCAGCATGCACCGCCTTTATTGTCTATTTTTTAGGCTGAGACTTAACTATTTTAATTAATTAGCTATCTAGAATTAAACATCATCATGATTATGTGGGGAGAAAATGAAGTCTAATCATACATATCATATCATAACTTATTATCTGTTTAGCACTATAATTAGCCCTAACATGATTATATGTTAGTGCTGGAAGTTTCATGAAAGTTTTTACTGGACAACGAACATATTTTTCCATTATTCTCGTTTGTTTGTTTGTTTGTTAATGTCTGTGTGCATGTGATGAATAATTCAAAATTATTATGTTTGTCCCACTTTCATGGACCTCTATGCCTATGATTCTACGGTGGAAAAAAGTCGACAAAAGTTTGAAACTATTTCCTGGCAGGTTGGATTTATTTCACCACCTTGGACAAATGACTGCAGACCGTTTATTAAATCTTGAGTTGGTATGTATTGCAACTGTGCATTTATGTACTAAAAAAATTTACAAAAAGAAGGAGATATATTCATAAACTTCATCTTATCTTTTTATAATGTTTTTTTTTGTCACTTCTCGTTTTTTTATCTATTTATTTATCTCTACAATGGCAGATCTAATTTGATTAAATAAAGAGCATGGGATGGGATTGTGAGCATTAATTGTCGGTTGATATAGTCTTATAAGAGCTAGATGACTAATTTGTAAATATTAAAAAAATTATTTAAATTATTTATTTATAACAAATGGGTGTTATCTTTTTTAAAATATCTTTGTTAATCATATACATTGAAATAAGTCTTTGATGAAAAACTTTAACATATGCAATCACATAGGAATTATTTGGGGGTGGGTAAATATAGGAGACAAAGTATATTAGAATTTTACATTTAAAATCAAATTAAATTTATAACTAGTTCTTATATTAAAGACACAAAATAATATGTCTGTACAGTGATAAGGGAAAAATCATACTTCTCTTGAAGTTCATATTTAATGCATGTACATAGCCTGCTGAATCATATACATTTATGGGAATGCATGTGAGATGTCTGCTAGGCATTTATTTATAGCTTTGTACACACTTCATATCTTATTTTTAAGTTTAATTTCTCAATAAATAATTTGTATAATTAAGAGTATGCTTTTTCATATGATTAATTTTTTAGGAAAATTTTTTTCCATATCTTAATTTTTTTTTTTTTTACAGTAGGAGGTTTTGTCGTCTGGAACCATAGATCTCTCTATTCACCCCGCACCACTCTTGTCACTTGAATTAGCTACTCTTAATTTTATTAGACAATTGTTGCAAGGTCTTGATGTTCTTATTTATAAGAATATTTGTAAATCTAGACAATAATTGATTCATCTTTTTTGTTTTCAGAAAGGCTTTTGAAAAGGAGTGCTTTTAATTAATCAAGACAGAATGTGAAGGAGAGAATAAAATAGAGTATTAATAAAGGGTATTTGTGGAAGGACAAGGTAGTTTTAAAGATACCTATTAGTCTTCTTAATTTGCATAAGGTAGATAAATTTGTTATATAAAAACCAAGTAACCCAAAAATTATAAAATTTATGACTTGGTTCATTAGATTATAGTTTTTCTATCATTAATATAAGACATACTTAGATTTTATATTGAGGACCAGAGAAAATATGTATTTGTGTATCGGTGATATGTACTAAATGATATGATAGTGAGGCATAGGTTAGGTTGGAGGTAAAAAAAAATAATGATATTAACATGTGATATATTTTAATTTATTATTTATTTAGTCATGGAGGATGAAAAAGGAAGGGGGAAATGTTACTAAAACTTAAATTATCTTTATCTACATAAATATATGACCTCCTCCCATTTTAAATATAAGATTTACTTGAGGACCCTACCTATTTTTTGAAAAATGACATAAATTCTCTACATAATTATAAATAACCAATCTATCTTTTTTCTTTTTGGATGCTATGAATTAATTAAGAGAATTTGTATATTGACGTATTAAAGAGCTTATAACATGACATCAAAGTGCTATATATGTATAGTAATCAATAAGAAAAATGGTGGCCCAAAAAAATCCACAAGACAGAGAGGTAAGTCTAATTCACCTAAACTATAGTCACTTAGCCGTGATTTTCTTTAGAACAGCCGCCAAAGATCAAAGCATTCATGAACCACAGGAAATTCATGCCTGCTGTATTAAGGTGCCATAGGAAAAATTATACATGATCTTTATCGACTTTAGGTCAATCTGTAAATAAATTAACTGATATCCCTTAGCAGCAATGATTCTGTGGCCTAGTGTAGCATGAAAGTTTTCATGTAAATGAGAGGTTGCGGCTTTATTCCCACTTATGACCTTAGGCGTCAGTACTTGCCCTTTATTAGTACCTCTTAGCACAGTACAAGTAAAGCAAGAAATTAAGAAAGTTGAGAACAGAAAGCAGAGTATAGAACAGATCCAACCTTGCATAATTCAGATCATGTCCTCCAAGCCACTCTTTACCGTATCTCCCGCTTACTTCATTGCTTATCTTCACAAGAACTGAGCTGAAAAAATATCCCATGGAGGCTGAACACCATGACAGTGCAGTACACATGCTTCTCATCCTACCGGGTGCTTTAGAATAGAAAAACTCAAGTGTTCCACTCAAAGTAAGTGCATCTGATATGGCCAAGAACAAGTATTGCCATCCTAACCAGAAAACTGATACTATCACAGCTTCGTTCTTGTTGGCTTCTTCTCTTCTCTTAGCTTCAACTATGGCTGCCACTGCCATGGACACTGACGCAAGAACTAGGCCTACTCCAATTCTTCCAAGTGGTTGAAGGATCTTACTTTGAGTTAAGCGTTTGTGTTTGTAAAAGTATTTAAGGTTCTCGAAAATCGGTATGGAAGCGATCATGATGATGAGGGGAAGTACTGTGAGGGACTGGGTAGGGATTGTGAAGCTGTGGAGCTTTCTGTTCATGATGATTCCTTGTTGAACTGAGAATGTTTGAAGCTGAGCTAGGCAACAGTTCATCATGATTGTGGTTAAGAAGATTGGAAGCAATCCAAGGAAGGCTTTTGTTTCTTCAATATCAGCTTCATCCACCGTTTCATCTAGCAAAGCTTTGTTTAAAAACCTGCAGAAAATGTTTGCCTAATCAGATATATGGTATCAAACGTGCTGCAATATGATGCGTATACCGTGTGAAATAAGTATCACTTCTCTTTTGGGATAGGCATGCTTTATAGTTAGAAATCATTACTTATTGAAAAGAGAAAAATCCTACTTGAATTTATCTTGAGATTGTTCTGTTGCGTCTTCCTCTGCTACTGCCCCAAGATTTACCCTCCCCACTGCTGAAGCTTTCCAGTTACGAGCTGAAGAAGCAAACACCTTGAAACAGAATACAGCAGAAATTTCAAGAGTTTATGTAAAGCAGGCAAAAATGGGTTTACCCCAAACATCTAAAAGTGTATACTCAAAAGCATAGTGCAAAAGTGTGAATTACACCTTAATGGTCCTTGTTAGAGGGCTTCCAGAAGGAGATTTATAGCGATAAAAGGGAAAGGCAAGGACGAAAATACAAAGAGCCAAAGCCAAGACTATATCAGAAATCACAAAACTCAAGTTCCAGCCATGATTCTCTTGAACCCAAACCATGACACTTGCTGCAACAAGGCCTCCCGTGCATAAGGAACAGAAGTACCAACTGAAGAATGAAGACATGTGATGTTGCTTATGGTGATCAAGCTGATCAGCTCCATGTGTAGGCAACGAAGCCTTGATCCCACCAACACCAGTGGCAATCGCATAGAGTCCACAGTAGAGTATAGCAGCTTGACTCTTAGAAGGTGTTCTATTCTCCGCTGGTTTCAAATTAGAGTGTTGAGCTTGGTATGTCAGCAAGATTAGCCCCTGCAATTAATCTATACTCAAATTGATGCATCTTAGATGGTGTTTGGATTAAATTATTTTAAGTGATTTTGCACTATACAAGTAAGTATGTAAGAGATGTTTTGTCTTGTGAAGCACAAAAGAGCTTAGTTTTGGATTGGGAATGTTGGGATTGAAGAATGGTAATTACCAGTAATTCTATGACACAGGAAATGATGAATGTCGTGAACCTTGTGAAGAAGGAGTCACTGATAAAGCCTCCAACAATGGTGAGGAGAAAGGAGGTTCCCATGAAGTTAGTGACCATGTTGGAAGACTTGGCTGCTGAGTAATGCATTGACTTGAGAAAGTAGGAAACGAAGTTGATTGCATTTGATAGGAACACCATGTTCTCCAGCACCCCCACCACTGCAACATGTGCAATCACAATACAAGAGATGATCAGAGTCTTCTTTTAAGCCTTATTATTAGAAACAACCAAATCATCATTACATGCCGAGTCATTGTAGTAAGGGCATTTTGGGAAAGAAAATTAAATATCCTACATATTTCTCACTTTGTAAAATAGTTATTTATTTCTTATAAATAAATTCAGAGGAAGTACATGATAGTATAATATAAAAATTCTAACCAATTACATTATTCATAAGTCATGAACAGTGTGACTCATTTTTCAGATTCTATATCATAAAAAGACTCAGACTAATTATTTGCTAATAGAAGCCATTAATGCTTGAGACTTTCAATTGATAAAATCCATTTCCAACAACTTTTTTATGTTCATACATGACCTAGATTGACTTGGCAAGAAGAAATTTTATGTTGAATAAAATTAAACTAGAAGAGGGATACATGGTTAGAAATGACCTACAAATCATAACTTCAGAAATTGTAAATGGGTGAGCTTATTCAAAGGTCCTGTAATTCCAATTAGGGTACAATTATCTGACTAATCATCCTATCATATAAATTAAAAGTGTTGATGTGAATCCCTCTCCTCCCACACATAACATGAAGCAGTTACTGTAGCTAAAACAGCAACAATAAATCTGCCCCTTTTTTGAGCTCCATCATATTTTTAAAGATTGCTTCTTCATCTTGATTTGTTTGCAAGGAGTAAAAATTTTATACCCACCTGTACAAGTCGAGTGACATCTTCATTAATTTATATATACACATATAAAAGTCATGCTAGTAATCAAACATGCATGAATCAGAAAACAAGTCACTTTTCAGTTTTCAGATTTTGTACGTTGCACTAGCTTTAGAATACACAAACAGATGTATGCATATAGATATATATATATATAGAGAGAGAGAGAGATAGAGAGAGAGTTGTTTACCACAAGTAATGGCAGAAGCTCTGAAGCCACCATGCTTTCTGGGATGTGCTTTTCTCCCTTTGTAGTCCCTAAAATATTCTTCATCTCCACTGCTGCTTTTCTCTCTATCCTGTAATTCCTTTTCATATTCACACATTTTTCTTCAGCCAAAATAATGAAGCAAAATCATAAAAGGAACAATTCATTATGCTCACACTTACCATCAGTCTTAACTTTTATTCACCTCAAATTTTAATTTAAACAGTTAATATATAAAGTTTAATTTTTAGTACAAGGTAAACCAAGAAGAGGAAAAGGTCTTAAGAATGATCAGAGCGTTTCCTTAACAACTCGAGACTAAAAATATAACAAATATGTAAACAGGACTGCATATATTCCCAATTTCCATTACTTGATTTAAATAAGGAGCCGCATTTTCAAAAATGTCGTCATCAAGCCAATTTTTATTTGATTTAGGCAAAGAGCCATATAATACATCACTTTAGGTAAATATATATATATAACACTTCTCCGTTTTAAATATAAGACCCATTTTGTAGTGTAATTTATACCATAAAATGTGTCTTAAATTTAGGACTAGAGGAGTACATCTCTTATTTTATTTTACATTATACTTGTTATATTTGATTTTTAAAATATTATTTTATTTATTTTTATATTTTCAAGTTGGAGGAGATACTTGTGTACATATAGATGTATTAGAATCAAATATGAATTCTAGTAATAAATTTATTTTAGACCTTTTTTATTCATTTTATCATCCTGATCTTTTTTTTCGAAACACATGTATTCTCTTATTGAAAACAATCTTGTTTAAAATATTGTTAGAAACTAAATGTAGGCACCTCATTTAAGGGAAATTCAAATATTAGTTCATCACATTATGAGAGACTATATCTTTTTGTTAAACCCAATCCCGTTGATTATCATCCTAATCACACCGAAATATACATAGGGAAAAATTCAAAAGAAGTATGATTTTACAAACATGAATTCTAGCCGAACAAATATTGAAGAGGCATGCTCCTTGAGTCATATAAAGAGATGTAATGTAGATTCCTGAGCAATCAATGATAATATCATTCCAATAACAATGATAATAACAATAAAGAATTAATTACTAACATAGTAATGAATATAACATATACAAATAAAATAATAAGATAAAACTATAGAGATACACAATAAATAATTAAATACTAACTAATTAATTACGAACGACATCTAAACCTATGGATCTTTATGTGCACTGTTAGCACTAAACGAGGGAATCCCTTCTAACAAGAATAACAAGAATCCGAATCTTAATTTGTCAAGTAATATGGGATTAATCTTTGGTGCTAGACTCAATTCCATCAATATGAAATTAATATCCCCCCCCCAAAAGGCACATGTATTCACTTATTATTGAAGACAATCCTAGCCGAGATACATGCTAAATTTAGACATCTCTCCCAAAAAAAAAACTATTTTTGGTACAAGGCATCTCTCCAATTTGATGACATTTTTTTTTTGGTTAAAACATATGTATCTTCTTATTGAAAACAATTCTATTCGAGACACTGTCGGGCACTAAATGCGGGCAGCTCTTCCAACTAGAATTCGAATCTTGGTTCACCATGTTATGGGAGACTAACTACTTCTACTAGATTCAACCTTTGTTGGTTGATGACATTTTTTTTTTTGGTTACAGGTTGATGACATGTTAAATAACCACATGAAGGATTCGAACAACTTATATGATCCAATTTCATGAAAGCCCAATACTTTGTCTGCTTTCAACAAACTTCAATTCTCAAAAGCCCATTCATATATATTTCAGTTGGAAACCCTAGCTCGCTTGCCTTTGCCCGCCCTTCCCAACTCCGCAGCAAGACGCCCTGCGTTAGTAGCAGGTCTGGAACAACTTCTCCCTCACTCTTGAATTACTGTAATTGGATTTTATGATTTGTTTACTGGGGTCAATTTGTATTAAGTTTCGGTCTTGATGCTTTTCTTTGAGCTTTTTCTCTGCGTTGTGTTCCTGAGAAACTAGACATGGTAGTTGGAGTATACAAAATCTATGAAATGCTAGTTGCAGCAATAGAGTTCTTTCATCGGAAACTATGTATGGAAAGCGCTTTGCAGCCTGATGCCTATCTATCATTTGCTTCTGGATGTGCATCTTGTATGCAGTTTTGGTTATTCTGTTGCTCTTTTGATTTACTTGAAAGCTGAAAAGCTAATTGCCAGCTTTATTGTAGCTTTGCTTGTTTCTGAATTGTTGCTTATGTCTCTCTCTGTGGATTTTTCTTCCTGTGTCTGTGTGTGCGCGCGCGCGCGCGCGTGTGTGAAGAACATTAGTTTACGTGGAAATTTTGGCTTCCCATGCATTTTTCTTATTTTTCTTACTTGATCCTTACTTTTATATGATCTTGTGTAATGCTGATGAATGCTTAGTTTCGAATTTCTTTCAGAGGCAAAATGGCGGTACCTTTGATTAGCAAGAAAATTGTTAAGAAGCGTGTCAAGAAGTTCAAGAGACCTCAAAGTGACAGGAAAATCTCTGTGAAGGTATGTCTTTCAAGATTTGTTCCCTTATTCCCTCTTGAGTTCTTTAGAATTCCTTTCAGGGGCATTCAGTGCGTGGGCACCTTAATACTCTTGACCGTTCGGAAACCTATTTTGAGATGTTTCTTTGTGACATTAAAAACTTGGAATCCCCTTGTCATTTGAGTATGATTTATATCATTTTTCATACCCCAAGATTTTGTAATTTGTATATATATTTTCAAGTACTAGCAAAGTTAAGGTGTACGCTATGTTTACTTGTATGTTTCCATACATCAAAGTTTGAAAATTCTTTGTCCAAAATCTTCTGCGAAAGAGGAAAACTTTCCTAGTATAGTTTAGGTATTCTTCAATTAGTTTTTATCTTGTGGGGATGTAAAGGTCTTTCTGTGTAGGAATTCTCATTTAGCTTATCATATAATCATGCTAGTGTTATTCCAAATAAAGGTCTAGGAACCTTTACCACTTTTTTTTTTTTGGTAGCATGCATTTCTATGTTTTCTGGACTTTGCTTGATCATTTATTCAGTTTTACATCCCTTTCTCCGTCTCTTTATTATTATTGTTTAAAATAGCTTATGAATATGCTGTATATCAAGTATCAGCCTTCAGCAAAAGCTATTAATATGTCAGTGTATAATGGAAAGTTGAAAACTAATTCTTTTTAGGAAAATGGAGGAAGAGTGTACTGAGGTGAGAATCTTGTTTAAGTTTGGGTTCATGTTAATAACATGATTGGAGTTTGGAGACCTTGTCCATATACAAAGGCCAAGTATTTGGTTGATTCGTTTGGTGCTTCTCACTATTTACACTTGCTTGGTCATTGAATTTTTCTTCCTGGCTGAATCAGTTAAGCATCTTGGCTCCTTGGGTTGATCCTCTATCTTTACTGTGTTATGCAGCCAAGCTGGCGAAGGCCCAAGGGTATTGATTCCCGTGTGAGGAGAAAGTTTAAAGGATGTACATTGATGCCGAATATCGGTTATGGTTCAGACAAGAAGACCCGCCATTATCTCCCCAATGGTTTCAAGAAATTTGTTGTGCACAGCGTCAGTGAGCTGGAACTCCTGATGATGCACAACAGGTTAGTAGTTTCCACTGCATACCTGAATTTCAAATTTCCTTATCATTATGTCATCCCGCTATAGTGATGCAACTGATGATGAAATTTCAGGACTTACTGTGCTGAGATAGCACACAACGTGTCGACCCGTAAGAGGAAGGAGATTGTCGAGCGAGCAGCTCAGTTGGATGTTGTTATTACCAACGGACTGGCCAGGTTGCGTAGCCAGGAGGAGGAGTAATTTGCTGAAGCTTGTGTTGAAATTGTTATGCTTGTACTGGCTGGGCAGTTTCTGAACCAGATAGGAAATCCTATTCAGATTGAATGTGCTATTTTCTCTGTTTTTAGACTTATGCTCTCTTTGCCTCTTCATTTTATTAGATGAAGCTTCTACAGTTTTGGCTATTTGGAAATCCTTTGAGACTATGAATCAATCTGAGAAAGTAGTCACGCCTATTGTTTTTTACTGAATGATGTGGGTAATTTAAAGTTAATGCGAAGGTAATAATCATTTTGTAGTTAATCCTTTGGAACTTCAATATTTCTCATTGAGCACATCATGTTGGGCGAAATGATGAATCTGTGTGAAATAACTTTTCAAGTCCCAATGTCAAATGTTCTTTTGACCATGGCAAACTGAACTTACTGGTAAATACTACCTCCATTTCTTAATACAAGACACTTTGACTTTTATTTAGGTTCTAAATATAAAATCTCAATCTACTTTGTCTCTCATATTTATATATATTTTTTAAAAGTAACTCTTCTAATAATAATAATTTTAGTCAATACACTTGATTAGTAAGGATATTTTAGAAAAGACAATATCAATTTAGGACAAATAACTAACTCAATTTATTTTTTTAATCTTTTCAAATTAGTCAACTGACTCTTATAATTAGGACTAGAGGTAGTATCTTAAAATTCTACCCTCCTAGCTCAAGGAGATTTCTTCTTTTTTTTTTAATTGGATTTTCGGACATTCAGTGCCTTTATGGTGTATCATTATTGTTTTTGGAATGTTTCATCGCAACATTGTCTTATGTTTCAAACAGAAAGGTAATGCAAGCTAAAAAGACTTAACATATTCAAATCAATTATGCCCAAAAAAAAATTCGTATCGAATGTAAAGTTATGAATATAACGGTTGATCCGTTAGTACTTGTATTCATGCAAGGATCAGTTCTAAGCACAAGGGGTTTCTAATGCCCCATCGTCTAATACCTGTTGTGAGGTGTGATGTCTTAACCTTCCGAAATTTTTTCTATTAATTACTATTAGATTGTACATAAAATTATGACATATTGATATATTCTTGCAGGTGTAAAATGTTGCAATTTTTATTTTTTTAAAAATTTCTTTAAAAAAATAGAATTGCAAATTTTTAGAGTGTTTTTTCTTTGAAAAATTATTTTAAAAAAATTCAAAACCAAACTATTTCATACCTCTAAAATATCAAAATGCTACTGATTCTATGTAGAATCTAACACTAATCAATAGAACGAAAAGAAAAACACTTGAAATGTTGTTCTAAAGTGGAAATTTGATGAACTGGTATGCTTCTTCTTCTTTTTTTTCCCCTTCTTTTTTCAACTTATAAATTTTGAATTCAATCCTTCAAGCACAAAGCTCTATCTAATTGAAGATATTCCAATATTTCAACATTTGACTCCTCTTTATTAAAAAAAATAATTCATGGATGCCTGCTAGAGTGTATTTTAATGATTACAATTACAATATTCACTGACTTAATTGCAACGGAGTCCGTCGTTGTCGAATTCTTAATTCATGGCGGACATTGATGAGGCAAGGCAGTTACTGCCTTGCTTTGCTTGTTTCTTTTGAATCGTTTAACACAATTGCTTTTTTTTTTGGGCGGGGGGGGGGGTTAGCCCTTAGAGCCGGAGCAATTGGGAAAAGAGGAAGTTAATCCAGTTTATGTTTTGTGTTTAGAATCGATCCTTTATAAACTAACGGGTAAAGTCTACAATTCTTATTTTATTTTTTAGGTGTATCCAGTCCCTTAATTTTATTTATGGTCTATCTATCTCCTCGATGTTTTTTTTTTTTTTGTGCTTCCAAGATTGTAAACAATAGGGATCAAGTGCTAGATACACTATAAGTAAGATCAAAATTATGGATGCACCTCAACGAGCCGTTAGAAGCTATTTTATCATAAATTAATTATCAATATACTCTTCTGTCCCTTATTATAAGATTTAATTTTTTAAATTAATTTGTTTCTATTTATAAGATTCTCTTTGGATTTGTCTAAACAATAAGGTCCAGTTTGGTATTAAGCATTGAAAATGACGGATTGTGATTGTGATTGTAATTAAAAAAATCACTAAAATAAAATAATATTTAGTATAAGTAACTGCTTGTTATATGGGATTAGGTAAACCCATAGAGATAGGATTTGGGAATACCACTTCCTCCCATGGTATTTCCCAATCCCACATACATGGGTTTAGCCAATCCCACATAACAAATAATCTCTTATACTAAACACTGTTTTAATAGACTTTCTTGATCTCAATTTCAATGCCTATCCCTTATTTTTAACGCTTCTTGCCAAACACAATCTAAATATATTTTTACCTATTTTACCTTTAATTAATATGATCTCTCTCTCTCTATTTTTTTACCCCACATATAAATAAAAGCATAGGAGTATTTGATTTTTTTTAAAAAAAAAGGTACATTTCCAACATATTTATTATTTTTAATTAATTTTAACAGTTTTTTTAAATCAGGATGAAGAGAGAGTGTGTGTACAGTGTATATGAGCGCATAAAGATCTGAGAGTCTTGAATCCAATCTTCCAAACACATAAAGCTCTTTTTGAAATTTCAAAATTTGACAGTGTTATATGAAAAGCCACACTTCATTGCATCCAAAGTATTTAAAAGATTATTTCAACCACTCGACCAATTGGTTGCGAGGAAATCACGTCGGGTATCTCAGAATAGATTGCAAAATATAGATATATATATATATATATAGCAAAACGAAATTTTGTAGATAAAAAATATATTTCGAATATCTGACTAAAAGCATATTGGCCTGAAAATTAAAAAAAAAAAAAAACCGAATAACTAGCAACTCTAGGTGAATGAGCATGAGCATCTATAGCGATCTATAGATAATCTTTAAAAACAAAAAAAATTAACAAGCTATTTCTACCAAATAAATGAATAACAAGCTATGTGAGTTGTGAATATTATTAGTAGGGTTTATTTATCAAATTATGTGCAATGCATACAGCTCCTCTTATTTTTTTGTAATTTCAAATGCTAATTAAGGATGGTTACGTTATAATTACAGAGCAAAGATGCAAGCTAAGCCAGCATTTGTCAAGATCAATCGAATGATTGTATGTTCGATCTCATCCTTAATCTTAAATCGTTAATCCGTTAGTATCTCTTCATTTAAATGAAAAATAGTGTTTGTTTAGCTTCAAACATAAGTCATTTTTAACAAAATAACAATAATTAATTATTTGCTTATAATGGGAGGAATGTAATTTGATATGATTTTATCAAAATTTTGAGCAAAAAATGTATTAAGTATCCCTAATTTTGTAAAATATCTTACATACTAAAGTACAGAACTTCCAAAAAAAAAAGTATCTTATATCACATGAATCAAACGTTGATTTAGCAAGTAACCTAAATTAGTCTCAACTAGTAGTACTCCTCCGATATTTAATATAGGATTTAGTTTTTGAGTTAGTTTTGGTCCTAAATATAAGACTTATTTCTCATATTTATCAATTTTCTCTAAATTACCCCTATAGATACTCCGTTAACCATAATCAAGTAGAAGAGGGAGGGGGTATTAAGAAAGATGATTATGGTGTTTTAAGAAAAATGTGTCACTTTTCTTATAATTAACTAACTTATCTTATTTCTTTAATCTAATCAAATTAGTTAAATGGATTTTATATTAAGGACCGGATGAATATAAAATTTCAACCATAAAGTATTAAGAAAAAATCTATTTCAAAAGCCATAGAAAGAGTCCAATAAGACAATAACATGTCTGCTCGATCTTTTTTAAAGACCTTGACTGAAAATTGTGGAGTGTGAAAAAATACACTCTCTCCACTCGTAAGAAACTTCATAACTAATTTAAAGACCTTGAGGACATTATTGAACCTATTAAAACAAACATTTCTTGGCTTTGACTTAGTCGTAATTAGGTTAATTTTACACATTAAAATTATATAAAAATTACTAATAATAAATTTTATAACTTAATACTGTATTTAAATATTTAAACAGGTTGATATCCATCCATAATCACAGAGTGAGTTCAAAATAACAAACTAACAATTAATAATCATAATATTCATTAAGTCCATCATTATTTTGATTCATGCACGGGAGTAATACTTACTACTCTATCCTTTATTATAAGATCCTTTTAACTAAATTATGCGGTTTAAGAAAACAATTAAAATTAGTTAAAAGTAATTAATATATAGTAAATACAATTTTTTTTCAAATATACCCATATATATAAAAGGATAAATGTGAGAGAATAATGTGAGATAAATGAAGAAAGAGAATATATTAAATACATTAAATTAGAGGTAAAATAGATAATATTCAATGCTCAAACAAACTCAAAGAGGATCTTATAAAAAGAAAAAAACCATTCAAAAATTTGGATCTTATAATAAGAGAAGGAGGGAGTATATCACACTGTAATATAGGAAAATAAATTTGCCCAAAATAACCTCATTTTATAAATTAAAAAAAAATTAAATATCTTTTTTTTTTTGTTGAATGAAAAAGAAACCAACAGAGAAAATGGTAGGTAGGCTTTTATGAAAGTTAGGTTTGTAATGTGGTGGGGGCTTGAATTATTCTTCGTGTGGCACGAGATTAATGTACAAACAAAAAGAGTCAACAACATATTAAATCAATAATGTGATTTAAAAAGACTTTAAATTTATAAAAGCAGCCAAACCAATTTATATAATGGAGCTTTAGCCCTTCGCTTTCAGTTCACATTCATTCACATGTATCATTTCATGGCCACACCAACTTCTTTTTTGCTCACCTTTAACTAAAGAGATTTTTGTTTCTATTAACACTAACTTGTTTAGTTACATTTGAGAGATTTTTTTTTTCCTAGGAGATACAATTGTCATTATTGTCTATAAAATTAATGGGTTTTGTACGTACTTATAGAAGTATATCAACCAGTTGTTCAAAATAATATTAATATATATTTATTATAAATAATTAACTTAACTAATGTTTTTAATATGCATAACTTAATTATCTAACTTCTATATATATTCATGATCAAAATGGCTAAAAGCATATCCCATATTATCAAAGACTAGCTTAGATGATAAGGATGTGATGTGGAATAAGTTAAAAGTTCAAAATCCTATCAATATATCGAAAGAAGATAATGAAAAAAAAAATAGAGAGAGGTTCCATTAAAATATATGTGAAAATTCCCATATCTAGTAATTGCAAAATAAATTAAAAGTGTAAAAATAAAAGTTATGTTTAATAAATTCATACAATTTTAATAAAAGTGAGGTCTTTTTCTTATTATTAATCTTCTAAAAAAAAAGTTAGTTGTGACTTGGGAGGGAGGTCTTAGATTCCACACATTTAACTCTTTCACTTTAGTCAAATGACTGGCAGCCACATGTTAATGCGCTATGCATTGAATTAATTCATCGCCCTTTTTTTCAACCACAATGATGTGTTCAAGTGTTAGTTAACTATTTGATGGTAAGTCTCAAGTTTTGAATAACGTTTTTCCGGGACATTGAATCTGGACTCCTTCCATCCATCCATTTCCTGAATAGACCCCAACAATTTTTTTTTCCAATATTTTTTTAATTGAATTTTTATTATATTTTTAAAAGTTTAAAAATAATACCCTCAACTCTTACATTTTAACATTTAACACCTCGTCATTAAAATATTTGTTAAATCTAGTAAAAGGGCATTTTTGTGACTCTCCTAATAATAATAATAATAATAATCCCTAATTTCTGTCTAGTCATCTGCCACTTTGGTAAGTCTCCCCTTTGCAAAGTTTTATTCATTTTCTAATCATCTCCATCACATTCTTCCTTTAACTTTGGATTTTTTTTCCCGAAATGTTTTTTTAATGATATCCTTCTATGACTATTAACTTTTTTTTAATATATACAAATCATTTATCTAATTCTTATGTTAACATACTTTTATTGTTTTTCTTAAATTTTATAATTTAATTTATACATAAAAATAAATTATTTTCTAAAATTTTGTCGTATGAAAAAAAACAATGGTTGAGGTGGATGATTGATGATTAACGATCAATGTAGGATGATTGAGGTGTGAATGTGATGGGAAGAAGAGGAAGAGGAGGAAAGGTGGCCGCCACAAGATTTAGCGAATTGATAGTGACTACTGAATCCTCCTTCCACTTTCACCCACCAACATTTGTCATATAAAAAAAATAAAATAAAAACTCAAAATATAAATATGTGATGTGTAATTAGATATGTAATAAAAATATTTGATGTCTTAATATACGAAAAATGAGTGCTCTTTTTTTTTTGTGATTCAAAATAAACAAGCTTAATTTGAATGACAAAAATTTATTTTTAAAAAAATTCTTAAGTAATAATTTTCTCTCTCTTAAACGACGCTTATATTGTTATCCATATTTCATATTATGCACCTATAAAAATAACAATAAAATTAAATCAAATTTACACCTTTCAATTGAACTTTCAACAATCCACTTAAAAAGGAGTAATAGACAATCCAATATTAACGGTGCCTGGTTAATGGCCAATTAACGTTAAGTTTAATGTCAATCATTTGATTTTTGTTTAAGGAGTGTCAATTAAAAGATCTTTTGAACTTCTACTTAGTGCATTTCATTTTCTTTTTTAATGACAACTTTAATTAAAAATCATTCAATTGAGACACTGTTCAACACTAAATATGAATATATTTCTTAACAAAAAATTAAATCTTGATTGGCTAAATTATAATTACTGCTAAACTCTCGCTTTGCCCCCAGTATTATGCTAGATAAACACAAATATTGTGTAGTGAATGTAAGAAAAATATAACTAATTATAAATTGGATTTTTTTAATAATGGATGCATAAAGTCGTTTTTCACGGTGAAAATTAATTTCTAAAATTATCTATTCATAGTATTATTTGGGATTTATGGATTTTTTTTCCATATCTCCATTTAAAAATCGTATAAAAAGTCTACTTTCGAGGTAATGGAAGACTTCTTTTGGGATCCAAGTGGTAATAGAAGTCTTCATTAGATTGTTAAGGAACATACCCAAATTTTGTTGAAATTGCATGAATAGATAAGCTTTTTTTTATTTTTAAATATACATTCACCCATTCAAACAATGAAATATTGAAATTAATTAAGGCGGGGGCACGCAAGTTTGGTTAATAAGTCATAATAAAATCCCTGGTCAAAAAAAAGAAGTCATAATAAAATACTGACCTTTTTAAAAAAAAAAAATTTGCTGCAAAATACTGACTGTTGAATTATCATGCGTATCAAACATAGTATAATTATATATGCGAAGTCCTTTTTGCGCCATCAATCTTTTACTTATCAAAAGAGCCATTATCATTCGTCCAACTTGAATATTTTACACTCGCAATCAATACATTTCTTATAAATAATTGATAATAATTGACTTTCAATCTTTGACCAAAACGTGCAAGAAATGAGGGATCAAATAACATAATATCTCGGGTCTTCAATATAAAAACTAGTTAAAAATTAAATTTAGTCCTAAATATAAGACATCAATCCATTTCGTCTCTCATATTTATTTATTTATTTCAAAATAATTCTTGATTGCACATGTTCAAAAATTTGTATTCTAATACATATAACTGATTTGCCAAAAAAAAAAAACTGATAAGGATATTTTAATAAAGATAACATTTATTTATTATAAATAACTAATTAAACTAATTTTCTAATATTTACAAATTAGTTATTTAACTCCTATATTAAAAATAGGAAGTAGTACTGTTTTAATTCATATGTATAGAATTAGTAACAAAGTGACAAAAAAATAATTCAATTCAACTAACCATAAGGATAAATGATAGCGCAAGAGTACATCTAGGTCCGGTTTGGTAGCAGGCGTTCAAAATGAGATATAAGAATTAGGATTATAATTTTAAAAAAATTATTAAAATAATATTTAGTATGAGTCATTACTTGTTATATGGGATTAGACAAACTTATAGAGGTGAGATTGGGAAATACTACTTCCCTGTAGGGTATTCCCTAATCCCACTTACTTAGATTTAACTGATATCATGTAACAAATAATCTCTTATATTAAATACTCTGTTAATAGATTTTCTCAATATCAGTTTCAATCCCTATTTAATTTTTAATACTTTTTACTAAACGGGATCCTAGTGTTTTGATCAAACCTATATCGTCACTGTCCTCGACAGCAAGATCATCACATAAAAGTCGGCTTGCTTAGTTAAATGATTTTAGGAAAAATTACCAAAAGATTCCAATTAAAAAAAATTAATTACCGCAAAATCCTCATAACAAATAACCAACCTGAGCATGTTATTATTTCTTATTTTGATACTTGTTATTGCTTACTCTTTACTTGTTGATAAATTGTAAGGTAATTAAATTCTTTTCTTAGGACTTAATTGTAATTCTTCCATGATTTTATTTATTGCTATTGACGTACTAAATCCTACAAGTTAGGACATTTAAACTCGCTTGTATATGTTGTTTTCCCACAATCAATTTGATGCTCATCATGAACTTTTGACGTTAATTATGTTTGCTAATTCTGATTGTGTTTTTGTATGTGTGTGTGTGTTTTTCTTTTGTCAAGTAGGTGTTTTTTAAAGGTCAGCATAACAACTTCTTTTCCTTTGTTTTTTGGGGTAAGAAAATTTGACTCTTCGTGAAAACTAAGATTTGAATTCATATGAATAAAGTTAAAGATCCTGTAACTTAGCAGCTTGAAAATTCTATTCTGAATATAAGGTCGCGTGTCAGATATTTCTCATGACTTCATGATATTAATATTTGTCCTCTTAATTTTTTTAAAAAAATTATATAAATAGAAATAACAGATGATCTATTATGTCTTGTTGACCCCAAAAAGCTGCCATACGAGTAATGAATGGACTTTTTCTTTTTCACATAAGAATTAAAATCTCCAATATTCATGATTTTCTAGTCATGATTCTTTTTACTATGTTTTTATATTTCAATCTTATTAACCAAAGAAAAAAGAAGACAGCCAAGTACACTACAACATACGCCAAAAGAATATACACATGATTATATATAACAAATAAATGGTTTAAAGAGAAACTCAAAAAATTAAAAAATCCTCATTCTCGGTGTGACTCTGACTCAATTTCTCTACCCACACGTTCTTGCTATTATTATTATTATTACAATTACTATTTTCTTCTTTCTTTTTCCCTTTTTCTTCCTCACCATCCGTTCCAAAAAATACCTCATGGACAAATACCTCCACTTGTTTTTCGTTAAACCCATTTGTGTCCCCAACCTCATTCAACGGAATATACGGCGGCCGCGCCACCTGTAAAACGGAGTCCCACTGAACGCCTTTGAAGAAATCGTGGCCCTTGATCCCTTCTAAGTCGATCCGACGGTCACGGTCCTTCTCCAGCAACTTCGCGATCAGGTCCCTCAACGGCGTCTTCTCTCCGGTTAACTCCGGTTCCTTCGTCAAAATCCGATAGAACGTTTCTTTCCTGTTCTGACCGGTAAACGGCGTCGTTCCGTACAGCATCTCATATAAAACGACGCCGAGCGACCACCAATCGACTCCGAAGTTATGTCCCTTCCCCGAAATGACTTCGGGAGCTACGTATTCCTCCGTACCAACGAACGAGTTCGATTTCTCAACCGAGTCCGACTCGCTCCGTCGCGGACATTGGAAATCCGGTGAGGCTTCTGTTTCGTACGACGGGGGGCTTGGCAGGGAGCAACTGTAAAACCGGAAGAAGCGTTTCTTCCGTAAGTCCTTCATCGCCGTCGTCTTTGACGAGTGGGAAATCGGCGACGAGGAGCTACTCTGGGATTTTGGAGATTTCAGGATTAGTTTTTTGGAAAGATCGAAGTCGACGAGCATTATGTGACCAGATTCTTGGATCAGTATATTTTCTGGCTTCAAATCTCTGTATACTATGCCCAAATTGTGCAGATACTCCAATGCAAGGACCAATTCCACAGCATAAAACCTGAGAAGGAAAAATAATAATTCAGATTTCAGCTCCAATTCGAACAATTTTGGTTGTTTTCTCTAAAGAAAACAGCCAAAAAAAAAATTACTCGTAAACATGCTTTATATCGCGGATTCCGTTAGAAAACGAAGCGAAATGACAAAGATGACGACGTTCAGCCAAAAAGAAAGACAAAAACGACAGAAAAAACGAATAGCATAAGTTTGAATTTGTCTTTTCAATGCCACCGCTTTTCGGGTTAACCAAAGAGGAAGAGACAAAAAAGGTACCTTATGCTGTCATCGGAAAACATCTTCTCAGTCTGCTTTTTCCGGAGAGAATGGAGATTGCCGCCGGGGCAGTAATCGATGGCGTACCCAATGATCTTGTCGGTTTCCAGAACCCCTCGCAACCTAGGCAAGAGAGGATGATCAAAACGACGCAGCACCTGCTGCTCAAACGACACCCTCCTGCACTCGCCCTCATTGTTGTCAATCGCCTTCGCTTTCTTCTGAATCAAGGCCTTGGAGATCACTTTCAAAGCAAAATATTCACCAAATGCATCGTCATTCCTCTTGGCCGCAAACACAACGCCCTTGGCTCCGCGGCCCACGGCGGAGATGACCTTCAGGTCCCGAAAATCTAACTCCGGTAACGTACGCTGGAGGTAGTGGCTCTCATCGCCGATGCTTATGGACGACATGACCGAAAACTTGAAGAGATCCGGTAGATTACGGCGCAAGGTTACGGCTCTTTATGATGGCGATGGTAAGGGAGGCTTTATAGGGCCAAGAGGGCGGATTTCCCATTCTTGCAGGAGAAGGAAGCCAGGGGGAAAGTGGGGCATGGTAAGATGGGGTTTGGCTTCCACGTGACGGTGAGGATCACCTATAGTGTAGTGACACGTGTACGGTAGAGTGACGTGGAGGGGCCATGCTTAGCGCGTGACATAAAGCTGGTTTGGGAACGCGGTCAAAAACAAAAAAGAACAGAGCACACGATTCTAGAAACCGTGGAGAGGAGGGAATGTGCCCAAATCTTATTTTAATTTTTAAAAGAACGTGACTGCTTAGAAGCAATTAAATAAGTATTCACACTTCCTATAGAAAAAAGTAGACATATATCTAGCATACTGTGCATTGATTTTCTTAAAGCATTTTCTTCAATTTGCTTTTTTTTTTTAAGGTACAGCCGTGCTGTGTCCTTATGTTCACTGTTTAGCTGTTTAATATGAACACATTTCCTGATTAAAATTTGAACATATATTCGCCAAGTTGTGAGAAACTGGTTTTTACTTTTTAATGTGGGCAAGGACTTTTTTTTTTTTTTTTTAACGCTGAAGAAGATATTTTAATTTATTGTTAGAGGTATGAAGTATACCATGCGTTAGTCTCATTTAAGTTAGTGGCAGACAATAGACATTACTTTAGTAAAATTGACCATTTGAATATTATGAATGGAAAAGATCGCATCAAGAGAACTATTCTTACGTTGACACGACAGTGAATATCAAAAATAAGGTAAAAGCTAAAGTTGGTAATAATTCTAAAGTGTCTATTGGATCCTATTTATGCATTCTTATGTATTGATTTTATAAAAAAAAGACTCTCCACAAAACTTAATACTCTTCTTGGCCCTAATACATAACATATTTATTAAATTAATTTTGATTATAAATATAAAATTTATTTATCATATTTATTACTACCTCCGGTCCTAATTATAAGACCCAGTTAACTTATTTGAGGAGATTAAAGAAGTAAGTTAAGTTAGTTATTTGTAATAAATAAGTGTTGTTATTCCTAAAATATCCTTGCTAATTAAGTGTATTGGCTAGAACTATAATTATTAGAAGGACTATCTTGGAAAAAAATGTATAAATATGAGAGACAAAATGGATTGGGGTCTTATAATTAGGACCAAACAAAAAGTCAAACAGGGTCTTATATTAAGGACCGGAGGTAGTAATTTTTTAAGTCACTTTACAGATACTCCCTCAACTATAATCAAGTAGGAGATGGAAGAATATTCAGAAAGATAATTATAGTATTTAAAAAAGTCATATTTTTTATAATTCACTGACTGATATAACTTTCTTAATCTAATTAAATTACTCAAATAAGTTTTATATTAAGAATTTGAAGGGTAAAACATTTACAAACTAAAAAAATATCCTTATATAATGGATTTTCCATCTTCTCTTATATCAATCAAAGCATCATCATGGAAAAAAGCAGTGAATATGGTTTTATGCAGAGCACAAAAACATAAATCATTTCAAGGTCAAATAGGCTGATTCAGGTCAAGTGGCTAGCTCCTAATAGTAAAAGGTTGGGGCGCTTTAAGGGTTGTTTAAACTTTTTTTTTTGGGGTGTCAAATAATGGTTGTTTAAACTTTTTTTTTTGGTCAAATAAGGGTTGTTTAAACTTTAAATAAGCTCACTCTTGTTCGGCGAAAAAGCACAAAAAGGTTGTTTTGTTTTAAAAAAAAAAACAAATGTGTTTGAAGTTAGAAAAGATGGATTCAATATGCTATTTATGTTCACGGACATCATTCTTTTTTTTTTATTATTATCTCAGGCTCCACCAAAAAAAATTCCCTAAAAATAAGCTCTACCAGAGAAATTTGAAGGCAATAAAAAAAATCCAGAAAATTAGTGTGCAACGTAGTTAAGTATACTTTCAAATATTTCCCAATTGGCCAGCTCAATTAATTAACTCTAACTTGTAATTTGAAATCAGGTGACAAAACTTAGGTGCAGATACGATTAGTTTTGAAAAGAATGTTGAGTTATGGATTATTATTAAATTATAATTAAGATGAACTTCAACCACGGTCGTTAGAAACATCACATGCAAATCAATCTCTTCAGCAATCTAATCTAATTAATAATTAAAAATTATGGCGTGGGAGAGACTTGAAATTAAAGTCATTGACAAATGTTCGCATGCACTATCTACTAGTTTATTAGTAGCTCAAAACTCGAAGTCACCACTTGTTTATAAATTGCTCACAGATTACAAATTATAATGTTGGCCAATTTTTCTTACTGACTTTGGTTTTAAATACTATTTCTGATTCTATTTATAAGACTTTGTTTATAGACCGGAGATAGTATTTAAAACCAAAGACAGTAATAAACATTGGTCAACATTATAATTTGCTATCTATATCTACAAACGAGATCTTATAATTAGGATAAGAGGTGATACAACAATTAGTTCAAAATTTAATTTGATTTTAAAATAATAAGATTCGAATTCATATTGTTTCCCATATTTATTTATTTATTTTAATTAGTTATTTAGTTCTTATGGTAATGATTAAGGTATTACGAAGTTTATAATCAAAGGCTTCAAGCATCATGAAGAGACGTGTGATAAGTGATAACAGATGCCCTTTAAGGGTGCTTTGAATGTGTTTTTATCAAAAATAAAAAATATTATTTAATTTCAAATTAAATTACTGGATGCTGTTAAATCAAGAAAACTATTACTTAGCTCGCATCTTGTAAAATATTAAATTACTTTATAATTAATTAGAGATAGTATTATTTGTTCCTTCCACGACATCCAATTAAAATATGAATCATTTTTTTTGTGGATGCTGTTAGAATCATAAAATGGTTTAGCGGGGAATTAATGAAGTTGGAGATTCCTACGGAGAAAAAGAGACCAAATCAATGGATCTTTCTATTATCTAAAGTTGGTTTGTAAATTTGAGATTCTCTTGTTAAAATGTCACCCCCAAGTAATTGTTTTTAATAATCCAGCATCTCTTCAAAAGGCTTCCAAACTTGATTCTTCTTTCATGTGTTTGTACTCATTTCAGTTTAATGCTTAGATTCCAAATCAGTTATTGGGAAACACTGTAAAACCAACATTCTTTTTCCTAATTTAGTATTGTTTCCATAAAATTTTATCATGCCGGAGCATCTCAAAAAACAATTAAAACAATCATTAAAATAAACGAAAACCCACCCGCTTGCCATGATGAAGATCCCTTGAATCAAATTTTTGATGTTTTGTGCTTTAATCCATCACACAAAGACATACTATTCCTCTGATCCTAAATATAAGATCTATTTTGTAGTGTAAATTATAAATATAAATTTTGTAGTGTAATTTACACTACAAAATGGGTCTTATATTTAGAACCGGATGGATTATTATTTTAAGGGAAGCTAAACGAAATGTTCTTAGCATCTGAGTCTGGGAAAACTGAACAAAAGTTTTCCATCACTAAAGATTTTATTTGTGGGAACGACTTGATAAATTTTTTATACATAAAAAGTATTGATATATTACAGAATTTATACACATAAAGTACCAGTACTACAATTTAGGTCTTTCTTGTTGATTAGTTATTGGACCAGCTCTTGTTGGTAAATACTTGAAATTAACTCCGCTTGTATTTTTTTTTTATAGGTATAAGTATTTTTCTATTGAAGACAATTCTATTTGAGGTATTATAAGGATACTAGATGTGAGGATATCTTCCAATAAAAATTTGAATATTATTTATCATATTATGAAAGACTAATTTTTTTTATTAGACCTAACTCTACTTGTTTTTATTAATTTTGCATCGAACCAAAAGATACAAGATATTATTGGTGGATTGGACCAACAAGCAGGGCTGGCCCAAAAACTAATGCCCAGTGGGCTATTCAACTCACTGTATTTTTATTAAAATAATATTGGTAAATAGTAACATTTTAAGCAAACTAACATAATAAGAAAGTAAAATATCAAGCAACTATTACGCAATCAAATAATTAATCAGTCTATCTAGTTACCAAAAACTAATATCAATTAATCTATCATTCTTTGATTATAAGCTGTTTTCCTTTTATATGAATCAATTTTACAAATTTTACTATTTTATATAAATAATTTTTTATTTGATTTCACATGTCCTTTCAAAAGGTCGACGTCGTATTTATTGATATTTTTCTATTATCTAAGTGTATCCCCTTCATCCCCAAATAAAAATAAATTATCGTTGAAAGATACATGAAATTTGTCTAAATATCTAGGTGTAACATAATTGGAGCAATCCTATAACCTATTTTTAAACATATGTAAAGCAAAAGATGTTGTATATAATTAAATATACATTGTACATGATTTTGCTAAAAAAAAGAGTATATAGATAAAAATGAGTTGCATTTGTAAGGAAGCGAGTTTTATGTATTTTTGCACAATAAATTTTGTAAAGAAAATTTCAACCTTTTTAACCTTTGATCTTATTGCATGGAGAATCTATTTTTTAAAAGAAGAAAAGGCTAAAACATACTCTGAAATAATTTATAAACAGTTTTTAATTATAAATTATGACATATAAAATAAATAGTATGCAAGAAGAATTACTTGCTTATAGAGGCGTTTAACAATTCTTAAAAATGTTTTTACAAAATATTTTTTTAAAAAATGAGATAAATTTTTTTATATATTTATTTTATAAATTATAAAAGTACTTTTGGTTTGTATCCTGACATTTCCAAAATCTTGATTCTAACTTGTCGTTTTTGCGCAAGTTGGACTTGGACCTTCGAATCTAAGCGGGAGTCGGTTTCCCTCGCAGGCTTGACTTTTGGGGCTCGCTCTTCTCCTTCCCGCGTTGCTTTAACGCTTCAAAATTCTGCTAAATCCTCTCGTTACCCTCGCTTTTCGCTGTACTTTTCAGTGCCGTACGGACGCTTGTGTATTTATGTACACGAGAGGGTGATTTCTGAAAGAGATAGAGAGGTTCAGAAATGGTGGCACACGAAGGTTCTCTGTCAGCGGCGGCTAAACAAGCGGAGCAACTGAAACTACTCGGAAACTCTTGTTTCAAAAAAGATCGTTTCGGGGCCGCCATCGATGCCTACACCGAGGTATTCTTGCTGCATTGTTCACTATTCACCAAAGATCTTTTCGAGGCTCTTTTTCAGGCTTGTTTTCGTTGTAAAGGTCAAGTTTTTATTCGCCTATTGATGTTTATTTCATATGAATCTCATTCTTTTCTTTTTGTGTCTCTGTTTTTTCAAGGCAATCACTCTGTGCCCTAACAATACGGTTTATTGGACGAATCGTGCCCTTTGTCACCGGAGGCGCAAGTATGTCTTTGCAACTGTGCGTCATTTTACACTGTTTATTCTTGTAGTGAAGTCAATTTTTCCTTTCTTTTGAATGATGCTTTCTTCGTTTAATTTTTCTTTTCTTTTGAATGATGCGTTTCTTCTTTGGTTGTTCTTTAGTGACTGGGCTAAGGTAGAAGAAGACAGCCGGAGGGCTATTCAACTAGACAACAAATCAGTCAAGGTCATTAAGATTCACTGCAGTTCCTGTATCACCCATGGCCACCCATTTTCTAGGATTGCCTGTTTGATTTCCTCACTTATCATATATAATTTCTCGTTTTTGTCTTCAATTTGTAAGCACATTCTTGATCAACTTTTTCCTTAACAACTTGCAAACTGTTTTGTTATAGGATATGTAATTTTATAAAAGCTGACGTTTTATGAGAATCTTCATGGCAGATTTTGTATTAATTGTTTGTAGCATTTATTGAGTTTATTTGGCTTTTTAATTTTGTTTTAGTCAAGCAAGTTCCATTTATGTATTCTGTTTTAAAATTATTGTAAAATCTTTTTGTTCATTATGAACTTGCTAAGCTGAAACAGAGAATGAATTTAGGTTAAACTCCATACATTTGCTTGTTATAGCTTGATTAACTTGTTTCTTGTAAACTGGCCATAGTGTTTTGCGTGTGGCACAAGCACTAGTGCTGGTAATCTTTGACAGCAGCATTTTATATTTTTTGTTTGTTTCATTTTGTTTAGTTAGCTTGACCTTGCCAGCAACTGGAAACTCATCTTGTGCTCGGCCAAATCTTCTTATGGCTATATTGCAGGCGCATTACATGTTGGGGCTTGCACTGCTGCAGAGACAAGAATATATGGAAGGGGTCAGAGAACTGGAGAAGGTTTGTAACCACTGAATTATATGTTTCTTCCTTTCTCCTCAAACATTTTCCTTTTCAGATTTTTGTGCTACTTAGACGACTATACCGATGCAAAGGTCAAACTACTACTAAAAGGAATTACATGATCATATATTATTGATAAAAAATTTCAGGTAGGAGCTAAGATGTTTGTGAACAAGATCCAAATTACATAAGTATGTTTAAAAAAGTTACAAATTGTGAAAGCTTGTTGTCTAAAGAGATTTTAGGGGGTGGGATTTTGAGAGGAGCCTTGCTATATACTGCTCGAACAACACAGAACTCTGCAAACACTGTCACTGAAATCGGAGCAGCAAGCACTGGAGAAAGAATATATGCAACTTCTTTGCTTTTCTTCTTATTCTACTTTCACTGAATTCCCTTTTCCTTTGTCTATTTATGTTGTTGTGGTCTGGACAATAGTAGCATAAATAAGACAATTAAGCCACATATTATGTAAGCTTTTGGCTTGCTTCTGGGATGCTAAGAGGCATGGAGGTTGTATCTAAGCAGATATAACTTTACCACTAATACATAGGGAGATGCTTGGTTTCTGAGATATCAACTTATGCTGCTTTCACTCGTATGAAGATGCTTATATCATGTATTGATTACAAACTTGTGTTTTATAGGCTTTGGATCTTGGGAGGGGTGCCAATCCTAATGGCTATATGGTAGAGGAGATTTGGCAGGAGCTTGCGAAAGCAAAATACCTTGAGTGGGAAAATGCATCTACCAAGAGATCATGGGAATTGCAGCGTTTGAAGTATGTTGTTTTATGGTGATTATTAGGCCTAATAGCTTAAGGTTTTTAATTGATGTGAGTCAACCAATAGTTTATATATTAAATTGTCACTGCTTACTTTATATATTATGTTAATTTCTGAGATTATTGTAGTGTATTTTTAAGAAAATATACAATTTGATCCTATAAAAATATGCCATTATGCCTGGTTTTTATTTCATCTTTGGATTTTTTTTCCTCGTTGCTAGAAACTGTTTCCTCAAGATTTGTAACTCATCATATGTGCCTATAGAATTTGGGCAGAGGAGCTAAAGTGTGGTAAGTTGCAAACTTTGTTTAACTCAACCTGCACGTACGCAGAAATAAATCTAAGATTGAAAGTACTATACAGAATATCTTTGAAGACTAAGTTATGCATTTAGTACTTATTTATTATTCATGAATGATAGTTTCTTATCAAGTTGTTATCAGCTGAAGAAGTAATGAAAGTGTTGTGATTTGTAAATTTTCTTTGACCGAACTCGCAAAGAGAAATAAATCCAAGTACTACAGTGCTACGTGGTATATATTTCAAGATTAGATTCCGTGTTTAGTGTTTGTTTATTGGACATCAATGATATATATATATATATATATATCTTGTCAAGTTGTTATTAGTCATTTTATAAAACATGTGCCTTTACTCATGTGACAGATCAACTTGTGAACATGCTCTAAATGAGAAGTATTCTTGTTATGTCTCTCAAATGGAAGGGTTTATAGATGATGTTGATGCTTTGCATTCACAAGAACTCAAAGCTTTAGAAAGAGTTTTTTGTGAAGCTGCAAAGGCTGACATGCCTACAGAGGTAAGTACAGGGCTGATTTCTGCTGTTACTATCTTCATCAAAGTTTTGTTTTGTTTTTTTTTTTTTTAATCTCCTGAAAATGACTCTATAGTGTGATGATCTTCTGTTGCATTTTAAGATCCCAGATTACTTATGCTGTAGAATCACTCTTGATATTCTTCGAGATCCTGTAATTACTCCAAGTGGACATACATATGAGAGGGCAGTAATTCTTCAACACCTTCAAAAGGTAATGTGGTTTTGTGTTAGAGCCATCCCTTGTTTGATCTAATTTGCAACAAGTTTTACTTCTCACAAGTTTGTATTTGTATGGGCTTTGTCTAAGAGTTGACTGCTCCATTTTGTGGTCAGAGTAACTTTGACCCAATTACACGGGAACCACTTAATCCATCACAGCTTGTACCAAATTTGGCAATAAAAGAAGCAGTTCAAGCATTCTTGGACAAACATGGTTGGGCATACAAAGTATAGAAAGATGATCAGTCAGTCTGAAGTTAACAGCTAATTGTAGATTTATTACTTATTTATTTATTTTTCCCTGGATGGTGCTTTTGCTAAATCTTGAAGATGGATTGGAGATTTATGGAAGGATTGAGGGAGTAAAAAGTGAGAAAACATATTCATTTCTTTGCGTTCCTGTCTCTTAACTGTTATAGTGCATTATTGCAGATTTTTAAACCATTACATAAACTAAGTAGTAACTGATGTGGGATGTTTGTGCCATATGCTTCAACCAGTTCTTATTCCTGGCATAATGCAGTACTATTTTAATGGCAAAAAGAAAACAAAAAAAAAAAAAGTTCCCAGTAAAGATTTCGTTCTTGCAGTTGATTCCTCAAAATATTGATTCATATGCTAATAGAACTATTAGGAAGGACTCTAAGCAACAATTAGCATTATCATAAATCTCAATTTGTTAAAGACCATAAATTTTTTTAATATCTGATCAATTGATCTCTTTATTTTTAATCATTTGGTCCTAAATATAATACTCATTTTATCATATAAATTGGGTCTTACTCTTACATTTAAAACTTGAGGAGTATTTCATATGCACACTCAAATATAATACAATAAAATTGTGGATGAGATATGTTCACAATTTTGTTCGAATTATTATTCTGAGTTTGCTTTTATAGTAGGCTTAATAGTTAATATAGCCTGCTATGATACTATAGAGAGCAAAGGGTTTAAATTGATATTCGGCAATAAGTTATTGTAATTACCTTAAATTATATGTGCATGCTCCTATTTGTCAAAAGCCATAAACTATACAAATATATTTACACATTTATATCAATCACAGTTAGTGTAGATATTTATGATAAAAACAGTGTTTTAAATAATTTCAGTAATATCACTCACAAATAATGAAAAGAAATAAATACTATAAAAGGTGATAATAAATATTATTCCAAAATAACAAATATATAGTAAATAATGTATAAATATTTATCTCATTTTCTAGGCAGTTTCTCATTAGCTTTGCATTTTTTTAAAAAAATATCTTTTAGCTTCCTATTTTTATGTAACTTAATTAATATTAATATCAATATAAAATATTGTCAAAAAAATATCAATATAAAATATACTCCTCCGGTCCTTAATACAGGACTCAATTATTGAATTAGTTTTGGTCCTAAATATAGAACCCATGTCTCATATTTATCAATTTTATCTAAATATAAGGATACTCTCTCAATCATAATCAAGTAGAAAAAGAAGAGGGGGTATTAAGAAAGATGATTATGATATTTTAGAAAAAACGTGTCACATTGCTTATAATTTACTAATTTATCTAACACATTGCTTATAATTTACTAATTTATCTAACTTCTTTAATCTAATCAAATTAGTTAAATGGGTTTTATATTAAGCACCGGAGAAGTAACAAATAGATGGGCAGCCTATTTATCAAAGGAAAACGTTACGAGGATGCTATTTCCGAGCTTTCACAGGTATTCTTATTGTCCTTCTAATGCTACCTGTTTGATCTGCTTCTATATAATTGGTCGTTTTGATATAACCATTAGAAATACATTCTTGATGGGTATAATGGTTTGCGAGTGGGGGCTAAATCTTCTTGTAGCTATATTATATTGCAGGCCCATTTTGTATGGGAGACTGTGCCGCTGAGGACGAAAAAATATACTAAGGAAATCAGAAAAAGATTAATATAAACTTTGATCTTTTAAATTTATTCTCATTTTAGTTTTAATCTCTCAAATTTTAAACTATAGATTTTGATCCTCAAATTTTCTTTCATTTAAAATATTGGTCCCTATAATCCAATAAAAACTTGGACTATTTTGTCTCTTGAAGGATCAAAATCTATGGTTTGAAATTTGAAAGACTAAAATCAAAATGAAAGCAAATTTGAAGAACCAAAGATTATATTAACCCATCAGAAAATTAGAAAATGTTTGTAAGGACATAATTAGAATTAGAATTCCCTTCCCCCATTTTTTATGCTTGTGTTAGGTTTGTTCTAGATAATATTAGTGTAAATGGGACAATTAAGCCACAGAATATCTATTCTTTCGTTTTACTTCTGTGATGCTAGAAGTCATGGAGCGAAGTAGTATCTAATTAGATGTAACTTACCAAATTTAGCTAAAATATGCCCAATGCTACGCAAGAAAATACGTATATAGCATCATAGCCTACCAATTTCCATGATCGCTTCCTAATTCTGTTATTGCGCGTGAAATTCGCCTTGCCATTTTCTACCAGCGCCACGTGTTCATCTTGAGCTGCTTTCACTTTTTCCACGTTGTCCCCATATAAATACCGTCCATTCTCATTAATACTGTGATCAGCTGTTATTAATCCCTTGCTACTTGAGATCATTACAGCTTGCAAGGGCAAAATACAATGGTTGGAAAGGGGCATATGACAAGAGATCACGAGAATTGCAAAATTTGAAGTATGTTTTATGGAGATTGTTAGGCCTAATAGCACAAAGCTTTAAATTTTAAGTTGATATTTGTTGAACAATGGCGTATATATCAAAGCGTATATCATATTCCATCAATATATACTCCTCCGGTCCTTATTATAAGACCCAATTTGACTTTTTATTTGGTCCTAATTATAAGACCCAATCCATTTTCTCTTTTATATTTATGCATTTTTTTCCAAGATAATCCTTCTAATAATGATAATTTTAGCTAATATACTTAATTAGCAAGGATATTTTAGGAATGACAACACTTATTTATTATAAATAACCAATTTAACTTACTTCCTTAGTATATATATATATACTCCTCCGGTCCTAATTATAAGACCCAATTGACTTATTTGAGGAGATTAAGGAAGTAAGTTAAATTGGTTATTTATAATAAATAAGTGTTGTCATTCCTAAAATATCCTTGCTAATTAAGTACTCCTCCGGTCCTTATTATAAGACCCAATTTGACTTTTTATTTGGTCCTAATTATAAGACCCAATCCATTTTGTCTCTTATATTTATGCATTTTTTTCCAAGATAATCCTTCTAATAATGATAGTTTTAGCCAATATACTTAATTAGCAAGGATATTTTAGGAATAACAACACTTATTTATTATAAATAACCACCTTAACTTACTTCCTTAATCTCCTCAAATAAGTCAATTGGGTCTTATAATTAGGACCGGAGGAGTATATTGGCTAAAACTATCATTATTAGAAAGATTATCTTGGAAAAAAATGCATAAATATAAGAGACAAAATGGATTGGGTCTTATAATTAAGACCAAATAAAAAGTCAAATTGGGTCTTATAATAAGGACCGGAGGAGTATATATTTATCAGCTACTTTATGAAATGTGCACTAATATTATAGAGAAGCTTGTAAGTTTGCTTTGAGCGAAAAGCGTTCACATATGGAAGGTTCTCATTTGGACCAAAAAAACAGAAAAAGAAAAATGGAAGGGTCTCAAGATGAAGCTGAAGTTGCGCAGCAACAGCAACTTGAGGCTTTAGAAAGAGATTTTGGTGAAGCTAAAGACGATGACAAGGCTTACTGAGATAAGTACAGCAAGAGTTTTTATAGTTAATACTCCTCCGATTCTTAATATAGACTTAATTGTTGAGTTGATTTTAGTTTAAATGTAAGACCTAATTTTCATTTTTTTTAATTTTTTCTAAATTACTGCTATTGATACTCCCTCAAACATAATCAAATAGAGAGGGAGGAAGCATATTAAGGAAGATGATGATGGTATTTTTGGAAAAACATATCACATCTCTTATAACTAACTAACATACGTAATTTTTTTAATCTAATCAAATTAGTTAAATAGATCTTATATTAAAGATTGTAGAAGTATCTTCAAGAAAATGACAAAATGATGTTTATTATCTGTTGAGTGCTTGAAGGTCCCATATCACTTATGCTGTGAAATCAATCTTCGCATTGTTGGAGATCCCGTCATTACTCCAAGTGGACATACATAGAGAGGGGAGCGATTATTCAGCATCTTTAGCAGGTAGCCAGGTAATGTGGTTTTGCATATTTGGTCCTTTTGATCATACTACTATGAAGAATGGATACTTGCAGTCATCGATTGTTTGATGTACCTTTTCTTTTCTTTTCTTTTTTTCCCTCATAATTATTACAGTATGAACTAAACCAAGATAAAAGAAAAAGTGCAGTCAGATACTATTGCCTTGGTGCCTGGGTCAATACCTATATGTCCTTGAAGCACTCGTCGAAGATTATCATCATTAGCTCTCAAACTTAAGGAAAAGGACGTTGCTTTTGCGATAATTTGCTGATTAATGATGAACAACAATCCTTTTCTGAGAAGAACGAAAATAGAACGCCATTTGTTGGACCCTTCATTGTTTGATGTACTTGTCATGTGTGATGTAATGTGCGTTTAATCTGTATCAACTCCTTACTATTCACAAGTTGTGTATCTTCCTGTTCAAAATATAAGATAAATTTGGCTGATTTACTCAAGAAATCAATTAAAATCAGCTTAAAATAATAAATGTATAAGGCATACATGTTTTTCCAAATATATCCTTATTAATGAAGAAAATAAATAAAAAAAGTAATTAATGAATCGAAAAGGAGAGAGAATATATAGGAGGTAATATTGAAAAAAAAAACTCATTAAATGCTTAGACAAAACTAAAATGTATCTTATATAAAAAATATAAGTCCATCCAGCAAAATTTATTTTATATTTTGAACAGTTTGTAATTTTATGATGCTGCCCTTTTGTGATTAGAAAAACGTTGATCCAATCACGCGGAAAGGACTTTATCCAGGACAGCTTGCACCTAATTTGTTTGTTTACTGGGGATTTAGAGAAATATGGTTTTATAACGCATTGTTGCAGGAGATTTTAACTAATGTATATGGTAATTCAAAAGATTGAAAAATTTTGGCCTTTCTCATCCAATACTTTAGTGAAGATATTAAATGTTCCGTTATATGATTGATTCTTTTCTTTTCTTTTGTAAATAAACATGTTTGACTTTATTGAAAAATCTATTAATAAACATATGCCCTTGTCTAATACTAACATCAAATCATTGTCCCGGCAATTACTGTGCATCAACTAACAGGTAATGTGGGATGCTTGTGCCCTAGAATATTTATCTGTTAATATGCTTTTGCAACCTTTTTTGGGGTGATACATGCTTTCACAAATTCTAATGACAATTGTCTACTTTTTCCCGCCCTTTTGGCCTTAATTTATATGTACATATACATATATGTGTGTGTATATA